TTGGGATTCAAACTTGATCTTTGTTCAATGACGTCCAATATAATTGTATTTTTTGATTATTTTTTTGTCTATAGATTTTCCATGATCACTTCGTCTAGTTACTGTCATTTGTGGCCACTCCGAACATAGTTGGTCACTCCTAAGGTTACATGATTCTGACTGACGATGAGAGCAATGATTTCAAAAAGATAACCCTGCTAGGTTTGAAGCCCGTACGAATGACTAGAACCTGAATGACCAAGAATTTTCAGCAAAAAAATCGTGAGGGAGAACGCTCTCAAGCGTCCAACAACCATCATCCTCATACCAAACATACCGTAAATTTATTAAATAGAAATTTGAACGATTCTACAGACAAGGACATCGACAATATGCGCTGATCTGATTGTAAAAAAGCCGATAGTTCAGCGTAAAAATTTATCTCGTTGATTGGTGGTCGTAATGTCACGGAAGTTATCACAGTTGATCGCTGTAAGTGCAGATTTCGTTTTCACCGACACATGCTTCCACTCCATCGGCATTCCAAAGTCTGTTAACGCTATCGGGCTGTCATCAATAATTTGGCCACATCGGAAAGTGAAATAGTAGTCCTTCGACCGCGTAGCACCTGCCATTAAAAAGTATAGCATTTCTGGGTTAAAACACCTGCCATTATCAAGAACAGCTTCGTGTGTAAAAATTTGCCATAAATGCCAAGGAAATTGGACGTTACACAATGTGGTTACAAGAGCACACTAAGGCCGATGTCAGACTTTGCGAATCGCGCGATTCGCTAGCGTCTGCGGTCGCGTCGCGGCCAGTGAATCACTCAATTGGCTGGTACCGCAACGCGACCGCGGACGCTAGCGAATCGCGCGATTCGCAAAGTCTGACATCGGCCTAAAAAGGAATCGGGCATCAAGGACCCCCTATCGTTTGCAGCCACACTTGCAAAATTATGTAACAATTTTCTATCTCTATCCTGGTAGTACAAAAAATGGAACACGAGAGCTAGAACCAAGAAGTTGGCGTTAAAGGCCATCCCCGGGCTAACTGTTGTATAAGAGCGCTAATAATGATGGATGAGCGGTGGAGTGAACTGAAAGTGGAAACGAAAACAAGGGAAACCACCCGAATTAAGCTGAAATTAAGGGCTCAAATTTCCAGTAAGGTCG